CTAATTTTCCTTAAATGGCCTTACAGAGCCAAAATACTGAAAGCGCAAGGTGAGCTGCCTCCTCGGCCTCACTGACAGTCCCAGATCCCTCTTCAAGATACGTGCTGCCAGGTCCCTGAAAAGGCATCTCAGCATGGGGATGCTTCCCCTCATGTGCAGCTGTACAAACTGGCCCCAGGTAATGCTGTGTTGAACAGACCAATGTCTCCCCCAGCCTAGTGACCGACTCCTTTCTCTTTACGCTGCCAAGGGCTCAGCCAGCAGAGCAGGCTTATGGGAATTGGCCAGAAGACACCACCATGGCCAGCCTGACTGGTCAAGATGGTCTCAAGCACTGCCCCTTCCTGACCTGTGCTGCCAGCAGAGGAAGAAGTTAACACTTGTACCACTCTACCAAGATTAAAACAAGCTAACAAATTCATTGTCAACAGCTGCAGCCTATTCCGTACTTCCCTTGGATCGCTTTCACAATAACCCTTCCACACTAGAGGCTTCCACTAGCATGCCTGTGACCATCAGGCTCATGCATCCCAGCATCACTGACCATAAAACATCCATAAAAGAAATAAAACAATGGGCTTGGCTCCCAAAGTAAGGCCATGGGCTCAGCCTCAGCCCCTTGCTCTGGCTGTCAGAGCTGTGGATGAATCTGGTGGGACTTACTGTCATCCTCCAAAGCAAGGGCACTCACAGTAAGAGGGATGCAATAGGTGCAGAGAGAAACATGTGCAAATATGAATGCTGAGACTGTAAGCTGCAGGTTGGCCATTACAGGAGTCAGCTCTGCAGGCTGTGGCTATTCCTTTAGTAAAGCTGGGCTAGCAATAAAACCAGAGCTACACTCTTACCACCAGCTTTGATCCCAGGATAGGCAGGGTGAGGTGAGAAAATGCAGATTGCAGGTTTTCATGGGGAATGCACCAGCAGTGAGAGGGAAAGAAGTTACAGCCTAGAACAAGAGCCATTGCTGAAGCACAGCAGGAGGAGAAGGGAAGAGCACAAACGAAGCAGCTGTCATCCCCATCAGGGACTCCATGAACTCCCCAGCACTCAGCTAAGCATCCTACCCGCCACCATCACCTGACAGAGACTACGACCAGCACTGCCCCTGCCCACACAAGCATATCCAACTGCCAGGGCCTTTTCACGTGCCAGGCACACGCCACAGCCAGCTCCCAGCCTCGCCAGCACACACCCTCCTGTCTGGGGCCAGTCCTGCCTCCGCCTCTGCAAACCACACGGGAGGTACTGATGCTCCCCAGGGCACTTTGCTGACCTCGGCCATGCTGCTCGCACGCGGCCTGGCCTGCCAAGACTTCAGCAGATTGGGGCTTTGCCTCCTCCGGCAGCGCAAAGCAGCTTCAGCCCTGTGGAGCTCTATCTTTTGCTCATAGGGCCCGATCCTCAAGAGCAGCACACGGTGTCCAGAGGGCCACACACACACTCCAGGCCTCGGGGACATTCCCAAGCCCTGCCCCGGTCCAGACCCACCCCACCCATACAGGGGGAAGGCGGATGGAATGGTTGGCCAGCCCACGGACCAGCAGCTGCGTTTTTTGCTAGCTCCACAGACTTCGTTACTACGTGTGGTGACAACAGCATAAAGGCTGCCTTGCCCAAAGCCTCTGCCCGAGAGGGTGGGAGAGGCGAGGCAAGGAGGGCGCCGGGGCAGAGCAGCGGG